TTCCCTCTTCTCTATGGAGGCACCCACAGCCATCGGGTGGATTCCAACACACAGCAAACCCTACAGGACAGGGTAGCACTACCTCACAGGGTTTCCAAGGCTGTAAATCTTTATGGAAGCAGACTGCCATATCTTTCTCACCCAGAACAGCTGGTGGGTTCAAACTGCTGACCTTTCCTGGTTAGCAGCCAAGCGCTTTTACCACCAGGGCTCCTCTGTGGGGGCAGGAGAGGCGCAGAGATGGCCTTGGACACTGGGCTTGAGACAGAGTCTGTGGCTCCTCGATGTCTTCTAAGCAAGACCCTTCAAACAAGCTCTTTATTTCCTGTCACCCCAGGAACGCATCGTCAAGGGTCTATGCAAATTGCTCTCTCTGCAAGAAGTCCCAGAGCATAGAGGTTCCGCTGAATGACTGAGGCTGATGGGAGAGCCTTTTCCTCAAGAAGCTTCTCAGGGGAGAGAGGTGCACATCAGCACAGTGGCACCCACAGGAGATAGGCCCTGACCTTCTGCTTCTGACCTAGAACTGTAGGTGTGGGAGTGCAAGTGGACCGGCACAGTCGCCCGGGGGGTCCCTGGGCTGCACAGACCGTTAGTGCTCGGCTGCTGATCAGAAGAGCCGCCGTGGAAGAAAGCCTGGTGAACTGCTCCTGGAAAGTCATGGCCACTGCCCCCCGTGGAGCACAGTTCTACTCCAACCCATCGGGACACCAGCGTCGGAGATGACTCCAGAGCAACTGGTTGTGGTTTTTTGTTTGCTTGGCTGGTGGGAGGTTAAGGGTGACCAGACCAATCACCTAACACAACACACTTATTTATAGAAAATAGAGATTCAAACCTCACAACATCTTTGTTGTTGTTGTTATGTGCTGTGACCTACCCAAGAGCTCAGAGCTAGTGAGTCCAAAGGTCTGGGCTGTGCTGCAGACTTAGGCTCCCAGGACAGTGTTCTCACCACCCACAAACCAAGAAGCGGAAGCCATGGTAAAATGCACTAAGAGAAGCATTCAGATTCAGGCCCAGTCACTCCACGCAGTAGAAATTTATTCTAGGAAATACTTCAAGAGAAGCAAGATCACAGAAGGTATTAACTGAAGCACCATTTACTACAGGGGGAGAGAAAACATAAACAAATGCCCCACCTTGGGGACGGCTTACTAAATTAGCTTAAATCTACCCACTGGGATACTGAGTAACCATCACAAAATTCTAAGATGCTGAAACTGAGAAAAATGTCAAATTGTTTATGGAAATAGACTATTTCAATTATAGATTTTATATACACACACACATACACACACACATATATATATAAGGGCTAATATGTACAAATTAATATTACAGTGATAAAGTTTATTAATTACTATTTTAAGTTTTATATGTGTCCTACCATGTTTTCCAGAGAAAAAGCAGAAAAAATGAACCAACTGGTAAGGAATCAATGGGTTAAAACCCTGATGACACCCATCAATCAGCACACACTTCTAAGAGAAATGAACATTCGTGGAGAGCCCACCATGCGTCAGGCACTTACATGTGTACCCATCACCCTCATGGCAGCTCTGGGAGGTACTATTACTCTTTCCAGCCTAGACCTGAGGCTGAGAGAAGTACGGGCCTGTGTCCTCATAGGGAGTTCTGGTGCCATAGTGCCTAAGGCATTTGGCTGCTAACCAAAAGGTTGGCAGTTCAAACCCACCAGCCACTCCTTGGAAGGAAGGTTGGGCAATCTACTTCCATAATGATATTGCCTCGGAAACCCAAGGAGGGTTGTGAGTTGGATCTGACTTGATGGCAGTGAGACGTCCCCATAGCTGATGAGTATAAGGTGGCAAGATTGAGCCAAGCCTTGGAGTCCAGACCTGACACCGAGCCACACTGTGAAATGTATGCAGAGCTCGGGGCTATCCGGCTCCAGTGTTCTGTCGCTGTGAGGGAGCAGCAGAACATCTTTCGAGGAATTGGGACCCACTGATCTCATCCTAGCTCTGTGACCTGAAGGAAACAGAAATCTTAAATAGCTGTTTCCCCATTTCTACAACAGCGAACGTGCTGTTACTCATTCAAGCAAGTTTCTTAGAACACTTCCCTCAGGCCTAGTACCAGGAGGGTCACAGCAGGACCTGAGGAAGCCAGGTTTCTGGATGCACTCTGCATATGACTAAGAAGGGAACGGGGGTGTCACTCAAACCCTGCTGTCTAAGCATCCCGGCCTCCTCCTTACCTGCAGGGCCTGGAGACACAGCTGTCGGAAGCTGCTGCTGGTGCTGCCACTGACGACACTCATGATGGAACTCACGGCCACGGCGTGTGAGGCCCTCAGTTTCCGATGTGCCTGGGAACATAACACGGAGGCAGAGGGACTGCACATTACAGCCCAGTCACCCGGATCTGCTGGCTCGAGACCCCCAGTGACGACGGAGCATTTGCTGAGAGCAGGATCTCAGAACTTCCTCCTCCCCCACCCGCACTGGCTGAGATCCTAACGCGTGCAGGAGTTGAG